CATAGCATGCATTTAGGCGCCTGGTGTTAGCAGTCGCGTCTAAACAGCTAGATAATGACATATAAGTCACTGCTGAATACTTTGCTGCTTCCAAAGGCAAGTCCTCAATACCTGGATATAAAAGATCAGTGGGATTTGATTTCCCAAGCATTTTTCACTGCTACGGAAGAGGTGGTTAGTTACTACCATTCAAATAGAAATACGCAGCATGAAATGCTGCGGGCAGTTTCTACTCGAGCGACTATTGGAACAGTATACATAGAAAGAGAAAGAGCGCAACGTAGTTATTTTCGAGAAAACTAAAACGGGCGTGGAAAGGCGTCAATGCAAAGTGCCACAAATAAGAGAGCAATCCAATGGTTTTGAGACCGGGCCCGGTTTCTCTAGATATGAAAATGGGAATCTGATAACAGACGTCCAGAGTGCACTTTAAATGTGGTGGAAACTCTTAGTAATGCTTTTGAATGACGAATGACCTAGTAGGTAGCGCATTTGCTGAAGAAGAATCCCATGTATAGGAGTGATGTTCATGTAGCAATAATGCGACTTAAGAACACGAATGCTGCTTGCGCCGAAGGCGTTCTTACTGAGCTATGCAAATACGTCGGCGAAGAGCTAATTGGGCCCAGACACCAGCTATTAAGCAAAGTTTGGCCTAAGGAATACATACCCGAAGATGAGGAGGTCAGTGTATATTGTCTAATAATACACATGAAAGAAAATCTTGCCGTTTTTGTTTAATTACCGCTGTATAAGCCTTCTCTACATTTTATATATGATCCTTAAATATGAATTAGGAACAAAAATACGTTTACTTATATACTCCATGAATCAAACTAGTTAATCATGCCCTAAGTAGAACTGTATTTTATTATCAACGAAAAATTATCTCATACTCTAAAAAAATATTCAAAAATTTTGTTGAGTTTGAGGCTGTTTTAATCAAAATTTTTGTGGAAACATATATGTGTATGTATGTAAGAAGTTATATAACTCAGACATTTCTCTCTATACAAAAGTAGTTGCCGAGCATACTTTATATGGGAGAAATTATTAGAAATCTACGCGATTTTGAAGCACTTAAACCTATTAAAATTTAATGGGCTACAAAACTGCCTACCTTTTAGGTATAATTTTTAAAGTTTAGTGCTATTTTATAAATTGAATACGAAGTTTGAAATGCGGATTTATGTGGTTCTGTTTATGTAATGTGCTAATTAAAAAAAAAAAAATTATAAACAAAAACAAACAAAAATTGGTCAAAATGCCACTTAACTTGATCAGCTGACCACAAGGGTTCATCAAACTCTAGGTGCCAGGCCTCTCTTTAAAAAATTACTTGGTAATAAGACAACTGTTCAATTTTATATATCTAATAGTCCTCACTCCTTCCACCATCGAAGCCACTGTCATAATTGCTTTCATTGAGCAAATGCCACTACAGATGTCTTATGGGATTATTTGCATGTTTGATTTTGCGGAAAACTTTTGGTGCACCCTGCCCAACTTTTCTTAATATTAAGAGATGAACA